AGCTACACGCTAGAGCGCATCCAAGGCGGACTCTCCGGAGTCTTGTGCGCAATTGTCAAATCATTGCACAGTGCAGAACATCAAAGAGGTTTTCGCCTAACGTTGAACGGTGTAGACACGACTGTGAGACTTCGCAGTCCAAGCTTGTTGATCTCGGATCACGATGCCCAACGGGCCACATATTCGGTGAAGGGATCTGAGGGAATGTTGCCTTGCATAAGTTGCTGCAACGTTTTAAACAAAAATGTTCAGACCACGCCACCTGAAATCGTGAACATTGGAGAAGCGAACTATCTCAAATTTATTCCACGAACAGATCAAGCATACTTCGATGCCTGCGCGGCTATTGAAGCAGAAGGCAGCAAGACCAAGAGGGCAACCTTGGAAAAGGCCAATGGAATTAAATGGCTTTTGGGCGCTCTGCTCTTTGATGCAGAAGCGCGTCAGCACCTACCCCCAAGTATATCCAACACGGATGTGCTACATGATTATTTCAGCAATGGAGTGGCTTCGTGGGAATGCGGAGCCCTCATAGAGCATTTGGAAAGCTTGGGAATGCAAAGGTCGGATCTCCTTTCCGCCGCCCAAGCGGCGGAATGGAAGAAGCAGTTTAATGGCTGGCGTTTTCTTCCATCGGAAATCGAAAGGATGCTTGGGGAAAAGTTGTACGACAGCGGAGGTTATAAGGGACAGGGTATAGACTGCCAGTTCCTGGTGCCTTTGTTGTCGTATTATGTAGAACTGGTGGCGGACCATGTCGGTGAGCTCACGCCGAAACTGGTGTCCTTCCGCGCCTTGGCCCGGTGTTGTCGAGAACTATGGAAACTGAGATTCAGATACCAACCTATTGTGGATTATGAGCCTGTGCTAGAGTTAGCCAAAAGACAATCAGAGCACCAAACTACGTGTTTGAGCTTATGAAATCACTTTCATCCGACCTAAACACCATCATCGCCTCCACATACCGCAAGCATGCGTCATGTTAGGCGCACTGCCTTCTTGCGCAACAATGGAGAAAAAGCACCGCTGCTTAAAAGGTGGCGGCCTGTTCGACAAGACTGAGTCCCTGGTGAACCAGTCTGCCAGGTGGCAAAAAGCAGTCAACCCCAAAATGCTAGAGCTCAGCTGGCCAAATACAGAGTCATTCCTTCACGCAAGCCTAAGTGAGGCCATCAAGCCGGCCAGCACTGGAGATCAGGCGGCATTCACAGATACAACCCTCCGGCAAAGCACCAAATGTCATTTGGTCTCAAGGAGACTGCGCGTGGCAGATGTGTTGCTTTGGGAAGGTGAGTCAGCTGGCCAGATTGAGAACATTGTGGAAGGTGACTCTACCGCTATACACCTGGAACTCAAAATGTTTGAATACGTTTCCTCCTTACCATATGGCAGTCTGTGGCGCAGACTGCATCGCAGATCTTGGTATAAACCCAAGATCAACAGCACATATTGCGTAGCAATGTGGTGGCGCTGGGATGATGACAAGAATCTCCTCCTATGTTTGCACTGAAAACGTTTCGCGAGTCGAAAAAAAGAGAGTTCTTGCGTAAAATAAACGAATCGAACAACATTTGATTGAAAAGACCAAGGCCTACTTAAGTCCTACTTATAACCTAGGTTTTAACTCCTACAAGTCCACTTATGCATAAGTTCGATAACTAAGTTATAACATCTACAAGTTAACTACAAATAGCCACAGCCACCTAGTAGGTTGAAGGCAATCGCTATTAATTAGGTTGGAGGCCATTGCTATTATTAGGTTGGAGGCCATCGCTATTATTAGGTTGGAGGCCATCGCTATTATTAGGTTGGAGGCCATCGCTATTAGGTTGGAGGCCATCGGTAGGGCATTTTTGTTCATCTAACTCAATTGGTACTGCTTGTCTCGTCCCAACACTGCTAGACAGGGGTGAGCTTTACGGTGACGCAGGATTGATGAGGTGCGCAAGCGAATAGACGTCCAGACCGTTGCGCGGGCAACCGACGGGCAAAAAGAGCTCAAGGCAAGCCAAGATGCAGGTGGGTGTCGCCTGCTGTAGTATTGGAGTTGATTCATCGGTGGTGTGGGAATGGGGGCGGCTTGGTTCAGAATTTGAATCCACTACTTGCCAATGCCTCCAAAGGCAGAAAGACAACATATTACAATTCCACAATTTGCCGCAAGGCTCCAGCGATGATGACAAGCCGACAACAGTTCCAAACTTGTTGGAGCTCAGTCTGGAGGCTGCAATGCACAAAATTGAGGCAAAACTGGATTTGATGATGGAGAGAACGGAAAGCCCAACCAGCATCACAGGCTTTTCAAAGCTTCGAAGCGACGCTTGGCGACAACTCCTCTGAACTGTGCTCTAGTCCAACATACTGGATCTATGGCAAATGACCTTTTCGAATGAATTATGTTAATAAACTATGTTGCATAAGTTGAGGTGATAGACAAGCTGACCTGACCTCAAAACCAAGTATTAAGTACAGTAGCCGCTAAGTAGCTGCTGCAGGTTGACGGTTAACACGAAAGACGCCTGTCCAAGCACGCTCAAGTAAAAATGTTCACATCGCAACAACGTTGCCTACATCCATCATGTTTTGATCCGGGTTTAGGGCTTCCATCCTCCCATGTGATTGCAGGAGATGAGTGAGGCGATGGAGAGTGCCTCTTTGATACCTTCGCGTCCCAGGAAACCTTTCCTTCGCCCGGACCCATTTACTAGAATGTGTTTCGGCTCAATTTTGCTCAGCTTCATCACACAATTGATACTATCGGATCAGTCACTACAAAACACGAATCCCAATCCCTTTAGCAATCACAATCCAATGTCCCTGGGGCAGGGATCACATTGGCCCCAGGTATATGAGGCGTGAAGTATCTCCCCGCGACAGAATAGAGGCCAAGGGCTGATGTTATGCGGGCGTCGAAGGTGCCGGGTTTTGCGAAGGTAGAACTTGCAAAAGGCCGAAGCTAGTCCGTCCAGTCATGTCCAGTAGTCATGTCCATCCTGAGTTTATTTATTTAGTAGTATTTTCTATTATGTTTTGTTTTTAAATTAATTGTGTCCCTTCACTTCCCATTGCTTGATCATTGTCCCAAGATTTGCAGCTTTGCCTGTTTAGTGAATCAAAAGCTGAAAACCTGTGCCGCGTTTCTGCCAAATACATAAATTGTTCTGAGTTTACGGCTATAGGATGCATTGAAGGGAGTCGTTCGCAGGCACTCGCATCGTTTCAAATCTTATTATATAGTTCAGACTTCAGAGCCATTTGCTTGTTCAACGGCAAGGTTTTTGTTTTTCTTTGCACCACATATTTTGGCAGCAATGACATGCAAAGTCCCAAGCACTACCTTTCTTTGCTTTGGCAATGGCGGCCGAGTTGCTGGCATATAGAGACACAGCGCCACTGCATCGATCGTTGGCCCAATGGTGGTTCATTGAGCCCAAATATGAAACCGATGACACTGTTCTGACACTGATGACAATGTGCTGCATGTTGATGACAACCTCGTGTTTTGTAGTGCTTCTTAATTCCAAGACCTCTCGACCTCTGTATGACGCTGACGCTATTGTCTCAATTGATAAAAGGAACTGCTTGCTTTCGAAGCCGTTTGTCATTGCCATTGCTGATAGCATCATTTCGCAAACCGCTCGCAAGACAGTGTTGCAGTCCTAATGGAACCTTTGCACTGGTACCCCGCTTCACGCACCCCCTCCCATGTTCAATCACACAACCACGCGACGATAATCTTGTGAACGTGATGACACTGGTGTGATGCTCAAGCCAGCTGCACATACGCGCAAGCCTCCAGTCTATCCATTCCCAAACCACAGTTTGCAACACCTCCAACAAGGAATGTAGCTGGTGCAAACTGCAAGTTGATGGAGTCTGACTTTAGAGGTGGAGCAGTGAGGATATTCATGTTTCTTATACTTCTCAGATCTTCTCAGCAGTGGCCTTTGTGTCTTTATATAAAGGAAAACACAAGGTCATTTTGTGTGTTGTTAGAATCAAAAGGACTGATGTCTAGACATGACTAAAGACCGACATGTGAGTACCGTGCAAACCTCATTGCGCATGGCAAGAAGAGCCTACATATAATATGCGCTTGAGACCATTTGCGCATGTGGTCTTGGAAGTTTGACAGGAAACTTGAAAACACTTGGGCATGAACCGAAGCCCTTTTGAAGCCAGGAAAAAGTGTGGCGGTGTAGTCACGTGCGAACTCGTGGGTTATGAGCCCAAAGTAGCGCCATGTCGAGCACTCCATCGATGGCTTCAGCAAGCTCTGGAAAGAAAAGGATGGTGGCCATCAATCCCTTCTGGTCAGACACCGTGAAAGGTGAGGCGATCCTAAGGAGCCTCAGGCCGTTGTCGCTCCCGCCGAGCATGGAAAGGGGGAGAGGAAGGGAAGGGTGCGGCTTGCCAATTGGGGCATTGAAAGTGGGGCCTGAAGTTGAAGAAGCTCTGCCCTAAGTCTGCTGATTACCTAAATTTACTAAATTAGTAAATTTACAAAAATTGATGAAATTAGGTCGTTTTTACCTAAATTTTTGTGTAAATGTAAATTTTGAAGGAATCTATGAAGTTCATCAAAAGTTCTTCAAATGTTCTTCAAAACTTCTTCAAAACTTAGTTGTGGATAAGTAATGCTTACTTGTGCCCAAGGTTCTCAGCTATGATTCTTGACTCAAAATCAAGTCAACTTGTACTTGTGGATTACTTGTGGCCCTGGTTCTCATGTATGACTTTTTGCTTGTGGATGACTTGTGTCCAAGGTTCTCAAGTATGACTGTGGAGCATACTAGTACTTTGGCCAAGGTCCTCATGTATGACCTTTACTTGTGAGTTACTTGTGGGCAGGATGCCTGTGCTTGAGTTACTTGTGAGCAAATGTCCTGGAGCAAGTAAGGAGCAACTTCTTTTTGGAGGAGCGCACACAAGTTGTTCAGCCCACTTTGTGCCTAAGAAAAAGCAAATGCCTTTCTTTCAAGGCTGCCTTCTTGGAAACTTGCCAATGCTTGGAGCCAGCCAAGCAACTTTTCCAAAGTTTCTGGACCCTCTGCATGGTCTCTTCACCTTTGAAACACCACACTAGGCAAGGGTGTATGTACCGGGCCAGAAAGAGGCTGTGTAAACAAAAGTGGGTCTTTCTGGTCATATTAAACAATTCCCTTTCTTCACCTGCATAGAAATCCATCAACTGCCCATGGAGCTGGGCCATCTGCAGCCCCTGTGTGTAGAGCTTAGCAGCCTGGTCCTGAGGAATTGCCAAAAACACAGAAGTAGGGTGAAACTCTTGTAAGCAGCTGTGGAGCAAAACATTGAGGTTGAGGAACACCTGGATGAGTTTGTGTTGGTGGTCACTGGTGTCCATGTGCTCCTTCCACAGTGCCCACATTGCTGGGGCCAGGCCATAGATGTCTGCAGCCCTACCTTTGAGTTTGGGATAGCCAGACTTTGGTTGGATCATGGTCAGTTTGTCAAGTCTGGGCCTGAACTTGTACTTTGTCTCATGTGTGCTCTGGTACCTTCTGATGTAAGAGTCAACCTCCAGGAGGTTCTGGAGCGCCTCTCCTGGTAGACAATCATGAACCAGCAGTGCAATGACAGATGCATAGAAGTATTGAATCCATCCAAGGAAAAAACAATGCATCCAGTCCATTGTGATGGACAAAGCTGACAGGCCTGGAAGCTGAAACAGAGGGCAGGGAGAATCAAAATGGCTTCTCCATGAGGCAGGTGTGAGCAATGCATTCTGCCACCCTGAGTTGGGTCTGTTGTCCAGCCAACTGAGGTGGCCTTCGAATGTAGCTCTGCACTGACTGCAGCACTTGGAATGTGAGCTCCATCTGGGTGTGCTCAAGTATTTCGCATAGTAATCTAGATCTCCTGCAAGCTGCAGGAGGCAGCCATACCATCCTTGGGCAAGCTGTGCGCCAGCCTTTCGACCTTCCACTGAAGTAGGGGGGTACCTGTGAGCTGAACATAAACTGGGGTCCAAAAGGTGTCCATCAAGAACTTTTGGTGGAAAGATTCAAAACTGCCAATGCTCCAATGCCAAAACACATGTTTCCCAGCCAGTCCCTTGCAGGCCATTTGCCTTGCCAAATGCAATCGAAGCTCCACCTCAACAGGGTCCACAGTGCTGCCATTGTGCCCTGGGTAAATTCAGAGGCTGGCAAAATGAACTTCTCAAACAAACCGAAGATGTAGAGGTTGGTGTCCTCCAAAGATGCACCTCCTGCAGTGGCCATAAGAGAATTCCAGGAAAGGATCAAGGCTGACCTGCACCAGATTTTGCCAATCCCTGTCACTGGCACCTCATCACCATGAAGTGCCAGTGGGATGCACTTGGTTTTGTAGCCCTTCCTCTTGTGAAGAGGATGTTGTGCCATACAGGGGTGGCCCTGGAAGGCTGACCAAAAAGCTTCTAGCTTGTTTGTGTCAGGCAGGATCGACTTAGCCCAACCATTTGGATTCTCATGTAGAGCAGCAAAAAGCTCATGGGGCAACATAACTGAGGCAGAGGCACACAGTGTGGGCTGCCCCTTCAGGGGGATGTCCACCTCTTGGAGCTGGGGCAGATTGGCCTCCTTCTTCAGCGCATTGAAGACTGCCTGTTGTAAGTTTTTGCCATGCTGCAGGTTTGCCAAACTGTTGAGAGTTGGAAAATGAAAGCCTTCAGCTGCAGCATCAAGGTCTGCTTTGGCAGCTTTGGCAACTGCATGGCAATGGGCCCCACTGATGATTCCTTGGGCAAGGTAGGACATCAAAAGTGTATAGAGAACACTTTCCTTTGTAACCTCCTGGGTGGCAGCTGCCTCCCTTTGTCTTATCCCACCCTTCCTCCTTTTCCTGCTGGGCCCAGCAGCTTCCATGGGTAGGAGTGAAACTGAAAACAATAATTACTTGTATATTGAAAGTTCTTTGACCAAAAGATCTGCAGCATGACAACACAAGTACTTGAGTCTCAGGAACAAGTTTCTCCTACAGTATTCCTATCACAAGTACTAAGTTTTCCAAAGCCAGAACTTTTGGCCACAAGTATCAAAACTAGTTTCAGACCTCAACAATATTGTTTCACTGGTCAAGTACTTGAGTCTCAAGTCTTTTCCATTCCAGGTACAAGTTTTTCCTGAAGTATTCCTATCACAAGTACAAAGTTTTCCAAACACTTCCACAGTAAGAGGCGCAGTGAAATCATGTTTTTCACCACAGAGCTCTCTCACAGGCTCCTGTTCAAAAACCTTCAAAAACCAAGTGCGCACAACACAGGATCTAGGTCCAAGTTGTCAATAGAGGATCTAGCGCACAACACAGGATCTAGGTCCAAGTTGTCAATAGAGGATCTAGCTGTCCCCATCTTTCTTCTTTCGGCTCGCCCTGACATTCACCTGGGCCTTCAAAGCTGCAAAGACTTCCTCAAGCCTGTCAGCTTCCTTTCCCACTGCCATTACCTCCCCCTCATAGAGATCCACAGTCAAGTCTTGGCCATTTGGGAGTTCCTGCAAATGGTGAAATGTAAATGCAGCCAAACAATGAATGTTTAGTATTCCTTGTGATGAAAAACCATAGTTTTCATTGAGCAAACCATGCAACAACATAGTGCTGTCATGAAAGAAATCATGTGAGAAACACTATCTAACTCAAAGTTGGTCCTTCCAGTTCCACATGTGCTCGAGTCTGGCCTTTGCATTGGCAGTCTCCTGGGCAAGCGTCTTCCTTAGCTGTTAACTAGGCAAGTTCTTTTTCACAAGAGGGACACTTTTCTTTCACAAGTATGCATATTCACAAGCACACACACTCTTCACTTAGAAGTCCAAAGAGCCTATTCTCTAGTACTAGGTTTTAAGAAGCTCCTTTCTCAAGTACAAAAGACATTTGCAGTAAACA